CTCAAAATTCGGTCTTAGAGCTGATGAGAGGAAGAGTGTATATTTCACTTTGATGAAATATATCACTTTCAATTCTTGTTTCCTTTGAGAAATAAGAATTTCATTATCTATTCTCGTTTCCTTTGAGAAACAAGAATATAGAGGTTGACTTGTGCTTTTGGGACAACAAAAGCCAGGGCTTTCTCTCAGGTGATATCGCTTCCGCGGCGGTGGGCGTGACTCTGCGCCCAACAGAAAATACATTTTCCTCTTCCAATATCTATCCTATAGTCATTTACCCCATTCGATGCTCGGACATACCTTCCATTTCCGCGTCTCTATTTTAAATATATTACAACAAATTTACTCTTTCCGATAGATACAAAGGAGGAATTTCTTACAAATTCCATTAGCTAATCTTAATAAAAAATCCCCACACATTTAAAAATTTATGACAAAAATAACAATGCATGGTACCGTAAACAAATACAGAAGATGCACATGATACGTACCCACAAAATCCATGCAAACATATGGATGCTTATTATAATATGGAAAAAAAAAATAACTTGCAACAGATTAGAGAAAAATGACAATAGTACCTTAAACCAATATGGAAGATATACATGACATGCACCCCCAAAGTCCTTACAAGAATATGGATGTTCATAATTTGGAAGGAAAGGAAAAAAAAAAAAGATCAATCAATTGCTTTACTCCTCTGTTCCTTCTTTTGAAAGAGATTCAATAGGTAAGGCTTCTAACACAACTCTTGACGACACCTGCATGAATATATGATATTAATTAAAAATCCTCGAAGTTAGCAAATAAGCCTAAATTTGTTTAGATTATATTGAAAGATAAATCAGATTGCGCAAGTCAAATAAAGACTATGTTGACAAAATTACAACATACATGAAGAAAGGGATAGTAAATAAATGGGCTAAATATCCATATTGGTATTTTAATTTCACCCAATTTATCAAGAAGGTATTTTAATTAGGTAAACATGCTTTAAGGCATTTTAATTGATTCAACTTACCAATAAAGCTATATTTCTCGTCGGCGACCAGCTTTCCGGCGAGAGCTCGTCACGTGCGTGGCACGTGATGACTTAAACTGATTTTTAGCTGCTAATGTGGTACGGATCTGTTCTATTTTAGGTGAATTGAGATTTTTAGAGGGTTAATTCCTGCCTTTAAACACCAGAAAAATGGTCTTGTTGGTAAGTTGAATCAATTAAAATGCCTTAAAGCAGGTTTGCCTAATTAAAATACAAAATGGTCTTGTTGGTAAGTTGAATCAATTAAAATGCCTTAAAGCAGGTTTGCCTAATTAAAATACCTTCTTGGTAAGCCTTAAAGCAGGTTTGCCTAATTAAAATACCTTCTTGGTAAATGGGGTGGAATTAAAATACCAATATGAGTATTTAGCCTAAATAAATGAGATTAGTACAGAATAAATTTCTCAAATTCGCATCCAGTGTTTTATGTTGGACGACACTTATATATATTATGTAATGGAACTATATAACAATCAAAACCATCAAGAGTATTTAATAAAACCACACCTTATCAAAAGCATAAAACGAACACCGGAAACTCTTTCTAGTGAGAGGATCCGTTTACTCTTTAAGTTATAAAAGCCAATCAATATGAGCATTGTCAAAAAAGATTGTTGATTCCTATGAATCTAATGAAAACAATAATCAAATCTAAAGATTGAATAGACCAACAAAATTTTACTATTGTTCCACTTGACAATAAAAAAATAGATCTTTTTTACTCAAAAATAGATAAAAAAATGGAGAAAATGGGGCTTGGAATCATGGAGAAAGCTCATGTTGGTAAAGAGCTAAAAAGTGAAATCAATCATTTCCACTTTCCAATATTGATTTCCACATCCACAACCCGATGACCATTTCTATGGTTCCAATTGAAGAAAGAAAAAAAAAGTAAAGAAAAAAAGAGTAAACTACAAACCATAACTAAATATATTAATAATAGCAGAACATTTTATTTTTTTAAATAAATTTTAATATGGTTAATTTCATAATTGTTTGCACATTGAACCACATTAGTTTCACATTCTTTGGATATTATGAAAGTTGATTCCTTTTCATATGAGTTCATAATATAAATTGAAAGAGAAAATTGGTGAAACTGAAAGAAAAAACTAAAAGAATTATTATTATTATAGACATTACTCAATATCAAATAGAATAATAAAATAGGAAATTAGATAAATCAAGATTCCACAACTAAGAAAATTCAAGAAGGAGAACTTACCAATGAACTTCTTCGGGAGGCTGCAAAAGTATAAATAATAAAGAAAAATATGGAATAAAACGATCTTTTACAAAAAGGAAAAGTTGAGCTCTTTAGGAGAAGATAAGTAGGGGTAGCCCAGTGCACGAGGCTCCCATCATTGTGGGCTCTGGGAAGGGTCAGATGTACGCAGCCTTACCCCGCATGCGAAGAGGATATTTCCAGCGAGAGAAGATAAGTACTATATAGTAAAATTAACATCCCAAAATCCTAACTTTTTTCCTTTCCTAAGATGGTTGAAAACATGCAAACTTTAGATAGTTAAGGGTAAAAGAATTTATGTAAAACTTACCTAAATCATTATTTCCCTGGCAGAAGTAAGACCATCTTTTACATCGAACTTACCTAAATTATTATTTCCCTTTCCATGTTTAAAATATAAAAAGACTTGATTTTTGGTGGGACAAACATTTGACAAATAAGATTTCAACTAATGAATAAATTTTCTATATTAGAAAAAACAACACTGGAAATGAATTATACGTCCACTTCATATTAGGTAAAATCAAAAGATCACCTTTTTTAATATATAATAGATGAAAAACACAAATGAATTTACAAAAATATAAAATTTATTTACTAACATTTAAATCTTAAATATAAATGTTAAAAAAATTAAAATTAGTTAACATATGTATAAAAATGTAAACTCCCAACCCAAACCCAACTAGACCTAATCCAGATGCAAATCTCATATGTATTAAGGATTAAAAAACTATAATTTACCTCTTCAATGTAGAAATAGAAATTGAGTTAATTCAAATCGATTTCCAAAAGGTTCATCTTGAATGAAATTAAACTGTGAAATAACATGAAGTTTTTTTTTTCAATTAACAACTATTTGCGGTTTTATTAGATTCAAATATATACAAAAAAAGATATATCAAATGACGACCATTTTGCAAACGTGAGTAACTCTTCTATGAAAACTTCAACATGTATGAAATATTTAAGATTATAATATTAATTTAATGAAAAAGAAATACAACCCAAAAGCTAAATTATCTAAAATTTCATTCATGATACAATAAATTTGATGTATTTAAGCATTTTAAAAGTTTAGATTTACCTCTTTGATGTAAAAAAGATAGATCACATCAAGTCAATGCGATATCCAAATAGTTCAACCTGAAAATATATTTAAAAAATGGAGATTGTAATAGATATTTGTATATCCACAAAATAAGAGCTTTGCTACAGGGACTCAAAATATAGGATCAACATTAGGCACATGTGAGGTGTCCCCCTCCTATTGCATAATAAGCTGGCCATCATTAATGATGACCAGTTCATTATGCAATAGGAGGGGGACACCTCACATGTCCCTCTTTGGTCTCATATTTTGAGTCCCTAGAGAATTTTTGTTTTTTTAAATAACTATACTAACAAATTTAGAGTAATACCTGCGAGATTCATTTTTATAAATTTGGTAGTTACTAAGGGGCTGTTTGGTTGCACATTTTTTGAGAAAACTTTTCTCAAAATATCTGACAATGGTAAATTTGTAATTAAAAGTTTTCCAGAGATTTCTGTAAATTGTGTTTGGTTCAACAAAAAATTTACAGAAATATTTTCTATAAAATATCAAAACCTACCAAATTTTACAAAAAACAATTTCCTATCAAAATGAGAGAAAATCACCAGAAATTTAACACATACCATATTTAATTAAAAACCTACCAAATCTAGTTATTTTCTATAAAGTTATGAGCTATTTTCTTATTTTGAACCAAACAAGCAAAGTATAAAAAACAAGAAAATTGTTACTTTTTGATTTCTCAAAACTTTTCTTATAATTTTTTTAAGAAATACAAGGAAATCATATTTTAGGTGGAAAACATTTCCTATAATTTCTAGAAATTGAACCAAACACCCCCTAAGAGTAACCACAGAATTATAGAATTCTTAAATAACCATGTTAACAAATTTAGACGATTTTTTTATGTAATATACGATTTAGTTTATATGAATTTTTAAAATTGATTTTGAATAGAGATGAACGTATGAATTTTTAAAATTGATGTTGTAGAAAATCTGTAACATAAATGAGCCCGTCACCTCATTTCAATCATTCCCCTTTTTAATAAAAAACGGATAGATATTGTCAACCTATTGTGATAGTTAAAAAAAGAAAAATATGCATCATTTTTCAAGAAATATGGTCATTAATTTAGATCATGTATTGAAAAGGAGTAAACAAGGATGATGTCTTTTTGTATTGTTAAGAGTGGAGGGTCTATTGTTGATATTATGCTAAACAGTTGTATAATTCATATCACTAACATATTTAACTTAGAAGTGACTACCCGAATGTGTGTCACGTTAGCGACACAATGCTGTCTTTCCGGGAGGGCAGGGCACACCAGCATGTTTACTTTTTTTAAAAAAGAGTTCTTCTACTCGTCTATTCCAAATCTTTCATAGCTGAAAACTAGGATCCCAAGACAATAGCCCAATAGATTACGGGCTAATTGCGTAGAAGCAATCTTGGCCCAGTTAAATATTTTTAATTGGCCCACACGTTTCTATCGGATTAAAAAGTTGAATCCGGTGAAAGTGGATCCGACCCGTTTGTTTCTGCACCCGTTACTTCTTAACAAATTCTAGGGTTTCTTCTAGTTCCCTTTCCCTCTATTTTTGCTCTTCAGCCTCGTCGCCGTTGCCGGCCGCGCAGGTTTTGTTTTTCCTGTTTTTTATTTTTATTTATGTGTGTATTTTCAGCAGCAGCATCATAATTCCAGTGGCAGCATCGTCAAAAGAAATTTGAAACCCTTTTGTCGACAGGACGATCACTTGTCAAGGGTGAAAAATATTCATGTTCTGTGTATTTTTTTTATCCATGCATTTTGCTCTCGTACTGTATTTTTTATGAAAATATTAGTTAGGCCTTCGATTGGATTAGTGGTTATGATGTTGGAAAGGAGTTTACAACGATTAGTTGACGGGACAATCACTAAACCATTCGCTGGCGTTGTTAAAAATCAATTACATGATAAGCTAATTTTGTGTATTGTAATAAGAGCTTCTAAATTTATCATTAGTTTCATAGTTTGTGTTTAGTTAAGGATTCTTGGATTCGTGTAATCTAATCTAATTACGACGCCCCTTCATCACTTTTCATTGCCTACAACAGTACGTGAACAGCTCGTGTCAGATCTCAGACTTTAGCCTTGAGAAATATTTTAGCACTACATACCACTAGCCTCTGCGTTAGAAAAATTTATAATTTCTCAAGAAAGTTGGCTATATTTCTAACTGGCAAGACAAATGCACTTGGGTTGTTAGAAAACCTAGAAATTATGGCCAGTTTTTCTGCGGACCATCTTCCCCTTCTGAGATGTAGAAATCTGATAAACAGGCTTCATACTATACCCGCTGCAGTTTCTAGATTTTTATAAGCACATTGAGGACATGGTGAGATGAGAATCATTAATTTAGTTTTGACACATGTTGTAGAGATTGACGAGTTCATCAATGAAGAAAAGGAGGGTAAATATGCTGTTAATCTAGCGATAAGGCCTACGAATACACCTAAAGGACATGGAGTGTGGCAGTAAAAAGATTGTGAATAGTTGTCAATTTGGCAGTAAAAAGATTATGAAAACTAATAAAAGGTGATACTTGATGTGATTAAAACTAGTACATCAATCAAATTAAAGATGCTTAGTTGCTTACCTTTCAACCATTGCATAGCGTTTCACAATCACAATCAAGAACTCATGAGTTGGCGAAAAGACAAATCAGCAATATCATTTGGAAATAAATAATGCCAGTAACCTTGTCATAGCTTGAAAAAAACAGTGTTTCAACCTGCTGAAACACTGAAAAGAGTTTCAGCCATGTCTGAAACTCAGTTTTTAGTGTTTCAGCAAGCTGAAACGCTAAAAAGAGAGTCTCAGCCACGGCTGAAACTCTCTTTAAGTGTTTCAGCCTGGCTGAAAACTTAAAAAACAGTGTTTCTATTAACTTGCTACCTATTGATCTTTAAGTATATTAGCTTGCTACCTACTGATCTTTAAGTGTATTAGCTTGCTACCTACTGATCTTTAATATTTTGGTTTTTCACTTTTGATAGATGCTTTTGGGTATTTGGTGGCAATTGTAACTTCTTGTCACTTTTTGGTTATTGTATGACAATTATAAACTTGTTGTCGAATTATGGGTGCTTATGGCAAGCTTGGAATATTTGGTGGCAATTTTAACTTCTTGTCACTTTTTGGTTATTGTATGGCAATTACAAACTTGTTGCTTAATTATGGATGCTTATGGCAAACTATGAACATTGGTAGTTGACTTTTGTTAAATACATGCGGCAAAATTGGTTGGAGAATTCGTGTTTATGTTTTGATAAGATACATTTTGTGTTTTGTTAATTTATGTTGTGTGTATTTTTTGATAAGATCATGTGCCATTAGTAAAAGAACAAAGCACTATCCATTTGGTGTTTATAAATTTCATAAGTTTATGTTATATGCAAAGTTTAAAAAGAACAAATCTCCCTTTGGTGTTTATAAATTTCATGAGCTTTTATTTTATTTTTTATCATTTATTATTTGGTAAAATGTTTTAATATCATGCAAAGGTCATTTTTGTAAATTTACATATATTTTCTTTCCTTCCCTTCCTTTCATAAGTACTCCCAAACAAGTTAAATTCGGTTCACCTTCATTCACCTTACTCAACTCCCAAACAACATATTACAATTCCCTTCCTTTACTTACCTTCCCTTTCCCTTGTTTATCTTTCCTTGCCTTTCCTTAGCGAACTCCCAAACATAGCATTGATTTCCACAAAGTTCAATGGCTGAAACCAGTAAAGAATTGTTGGATCAGCCTTCAAAGCCTTCTCTTTTCGGTAAATATCAAAACCCTAATTTTGTTGGAATTGGCCTCTTCCCCTTTAATTGGCATAACAAAACTCTAATTTTGTTGGAATTGCAGAGGGACTTCTAGTGGGCAACAATAATTCTACGTCAAAACCCCAAAAAAAGAAAATTTTGTCGAGTGGGAATGAGGAAGGAGGCGTTTTGACCACAGAAGTTGCTAAAAGCCAAGGTATTAAACATTTAAACCACAAAATTTTGTTGATTTATTGAGTTTATACTTCAGTATAGTTCAAAAATTCCCCTGGTCAAACTTTAAATCTGTTTAAGTATCTGCATGCTGTGAAAATGCATGAATTTTGCTTGACAAATGATCAGAATATGTGTTAGTGACTTTTCTTGAAGCTTGTATGTCTAGAAAAGTGTAATGTATGCCAGTTTTAGTACTTCCTTACGTGTAATCTAATTTATCCAACGGATGGATTACAATGACTAGAAAAATTGCCACAGAACAATTAGAGCTGATTCAGCTATAGTGGTTATGAATTTATCTGATTACTGCGCTTGATGTAGTTCATCAATCAGTGATCCTATGTGAAATTCGAACAGTCCAGTTGTATTGATATGCAAGATTTAATCAGATCATGCTATGTTCCATTCCATGTTGAATATCCTTGTTTAGTTATAACAGTCTACTGTTCGTGGTGGAGATGACAGTTTGTTTAGGGGCTGTTGGATGCCTTGTGGAAACTAGAGTACTTATGCCACAATATGAAAGTGGTCATCCACCTCACCACATTTCATTTGAGCATTTACATTGTTCGGTGAGGAATCCTTGTGAATCCTAAAATTAATAGTATTACATTGTTTGGATAGCATAGTGTAAGCTTGAAAAGTGATAGTTATGTGTACCCTTTGTTTATTTTATAATGGATAGGATTACCTCCGAGATACATAAAAAACTCTGATAATCCAATTTATCCCTTCTACCTAGTAGTAATTGGAATGATTAATTTAAGACAACTTCTAAGAATAGAGGGACCTTATTGCAATTTTAATTATTTAAGGGATTAATTTTGAAAATGTTTTAAGAATGGAACCTAATTCTATTTCAAAGATTTGAGGGGCTAATTCAAAGTATGAAATATTAAGGGACTAATTTGATTCATTTGAAAAGGAAACAAATATAATTTATGGTCATTATAATCTCACACAGGGCTGTAAATGAGGTATTATGTTTTAATTCATTTTTTAGTCACCCAGCTGACACTGGATCAGCTTTCCACAAAATAACTCCAAATTGGAGTGATTTTGCTCTCGGCTATACCTCTACCAAAATGTTTCAGTTCTCATGTCAAAGAAGATTCAAACAAACATGGTAAAATAATGAAAGCTTACTTTGTGGCCCATAAACTGACAGCTTTTCATGATTTTCATTGCCAAAACAAAAATGCAACCAAACAGGCCCTTATAGCAAACACGTGAATAGGTGATGAGACACAAAATGATCACTTCGCAATATTTTAAGCATCTGATCATCATTGTTGTGCTCCTGGTGTGTTGGTTTGTTTGAGAGTTGGTTCAAGATACATAACCATGTATTGTTTCAATGTGTGTCTGCTTGTGCTGGGGGTACCTTGGGGGTTGGGGTGGGGTGGGGTGGGGGGGGGGAATCAATGTGTGTCTGCTTGTGCTGGGGGTACCTTGGGGGTTGGGGTGGGGTGGGGTGGGGGGGGGTAACCCCTAAAAAGAGCTATTCTGTAGAGAATATTAGCAAAGTGGGTTCAAGTTTTAATTCGAAGGAAGTAATCAGAGGCATTCAACTTGGATCTGTTTGAGACCTTTTATACCGAAATATATTTTGGGTTTGTTACTACAAAAACATGATCATTTGGGTGTGTGCTTTTCTTTAGTGTGTGTTTTGGGAGAGGAGAAAGATGAGGGTTTCGGGAGTTTCTCTTAGTTCTGACAATGGAGATTGGAGGATATCTGTAACTAAACACGATCAAGGATTGTGAAATGGATTATATATGTGTTGCCTCACTTTTTTAGCACCACAACATTAAGCTTCACGTGGAAAATGGCAATGAGCTCTTAATCACCCAGAACTCCAGAATTAAACTTATTATTCTGCAGAGTTGTTTAAGATTAACCTCTTTGAGAACATCACATGCTAGATGAATAATTTGATGAGGATAGATGTTGGTGTTGTAGCGTAGTAGGCATACTATCATCACCATGAAATCTTAAAGGATTCCTAATGTTATCCTAAACAAGAAACACTCTTCACATACTAGTCCTTATTATTATTTTTTTCAGAGTACCGTATTTGGTGTTCTTTTGCCATAATCTGTTAGTAATTTATAATCAAATGAAGAACTTAGAAGGGTAGTAGTGAGCCAATACTCAAGTTGTTCCTCTTTTAAGTCCTAAATACCACTCACACAAAGAAGCAAGAAGACATAAAATAGATGGGGGGAACATCTTATTAGGTATGATGTTTATTTACCCTTGATTAAAATCCTTTGTTTACAACAACAAATTTTTGGGATCGACTGCATAATCTGTTCTTCCATTTAATTCTATTGAGAGTTATCTCCTCTGTTGAGTTGACTATTATCATATCATTCTCAATTGCTTCAAGTGAAGTTCTTATAGATATATCTCTGGTCCTCTTTTGCTCATTAATTATAATGATATAATCTTATCACTTCTCCTAAATGGTGCATTTAGTGACCTCCATTCTACATTCCAAACTATCTCAATCGATTCCCTCTCATTTTATCCTCAACTGAGCACCCTCGAACCTCATTTGTTCTTAAACAAAAATGTATTTACTATCAAGTGTCGGCAAACACTATAGTTACTGCTTGCTAGTAACATTACAGCAATGCAGTTTAAACTTGACTACATTTGCTTTTACCTTATTTTCCTCTAATTTACTGGCAGTTCTTGGAAAAATCAAGGATTTCTTAGGAGTCATGGCCAAAGCAAATGAGAAGCTGCAGTCTGATGCACAGGTAAGAATTCTTCATTATCTGCAAGCCAAATATGAAGTTATGTTCACCTTTCTGATGGGTCTGCCCATTGCAGGGGACTTCTCGATCAGATTTTGATATCGAAGTGCTTGATGGGAATGAACAAGAATACATTGAGATGGTAATAATTCAATTTATCAGCTGTGCGAATATTTGAAGCGTTGAAGTATTCAATGTTCCACCAAATTAATGGTTCACAAAAAAAGGGTAAATTTGGGGTCGTTCGGTAAAATATCTTGACCAACAACATTTAACTTAAAGGACATGACATATTTTTGGATGATTTTATCCCTTTGTGCTTAATTTATCTGCTATATTATTAGCCTCTTCTCAGGTCGCTAGCAATAAGGGTAGTTTAGACCTTTTACCAATTGGTACTAATTAGCCCTTGGCGCCCTATTAACCCAGTTAACACGAACTATGAGACACTTAACTGTTATAAACTAGTTAGTTTGGATGTTCATGAGATCGCTTAATAATACCACTTCCAATTTTTTTTCACAGGATTTGCTTCTAGGTGTTGCTGATCTTCATACACCAGAAGCTGTGACTGCAGCTGAGGCCACCATTGGCGGCTTTCATCCATCTGCAGCTTCTACAAGCAGCAGCGGCAGTTCTGACACTGAAGATGACAGTGATGAAGATGATGACAGTGACAATGATGACATAACCACTAAAACCCAGGAAGATCCAGATTCAGAGAATTCGAGATTGCATGATAGTAAGCAAGATAATAAACCAAACAAGCGGCCAAAGATTATTGTGCTCAACTGAAGAATGTTGCGTTATTTATCGATTCAATCACCAAGGATCCAATATATGCTGAGATCTCTGCATTGGGATCTGATCGACGATATAGCTGAAGGTTGAGAAGGTCGGCACAATTGATTCTCTCCGTCAGCTGTTCGAGTTATATGAATTATAGTTTCACTCTTTTTTATATTTTGTCTCAGTTTGCTGTTGCTGGAACCCATGGCTTAGGATTTGAGATAATGCACTAAAATTCCTATTTATAAACATAGGGATATTTTTTGTAATTTGCATTATTATATAGATATGTTTCTTTCTCTATGGATGAATCAGTGTTTTCAATTGCAGTGCGGGGCGGTGGCGAAGCACCCCACATCTAATGCAACAACGCCTTTTGTGCATCACGTACATTTTTTACTCTGTGTAGGGTGCATGTAGTAAATATCCTCATATAATTTTGTTTGTAAACATTTTAATTGAGTCTTTATACTTGATAATCCATATCCCAAAAAAGCAAAATAAATCCATTAGGTTTTTTTAGTAGCCTTCAATTGAGGATCATTACTAATCCCTTGTTTGGATATTAGTTTTGATTTATCAACTTGATTTGAAAATTTATTCATTTTGCTATTATGTTGGGTGTTAGTATTAGAAATTAAGGTATTATATTTATATTTTGTAGTAATATATTATTTATCCTGGCATATTTTTATGTAAATTCTAAAAACATGTTCTTTCGTGCTTGATTATATATATTGAGAAATTATGTATGTGGTGGGCGCCTCGCGTCACCCGGGCACTCGCATCGCGTTGCGCTTTACGCATGTGTGCGTAAAGATGCTTTGCGCCCCGCATTGCGTCTCGCGCATTGACAACATTGGGATGAATCAACTTGTTGATAGTACATATTAGGTGATTGTTGTATTCTTATAATAATCAGGGTAATTTGGAGGAATTATAACTATCTAGGCGGCTTGCAGGATAGATTTTCGTCATTTATTTTACGTTATTTTATTAGTTTCTCCGTATTCTTTTTTTGTGAAAAGATACGTAGGAAGGAGAAAATATTGAAAATTCAGATACATATAAAAAAACACCATCTTTTCCCCCCCTCCTGAACTACAATGATATCATGCGAATAAGGAAAATTTAAAAATCTTCCATATAAGATACACATCTAACAAAAAGGAGGGTGCAAGAATCAAAATGAACACAGGTATCTCATTTGACTGCAAACTACATACGCTTTAAAAATTAAAAAAGATACGCCATCGCAAGAGTGGAAAAAATTAAAGGAAAAAAAATTACTGAGAAGCTCATGCATGTCCTGCTCCGGGGCTCGGTACTGACCCCAACTCCCGACCGTGCACCCTTGCAAGATGAGGCGGTGGAGGTCGCTCGTCCGATGCGGATGCTGGAATAGTAGTTCTCCTCCCGAGCAGCAAATCCAGGCGGCCCTCGCGCTCTGCAGGCAAACCTTCATCGTACTTCCGAAGTCCTCGGCCTTCGGACGACGTCGGCAAAAACAAGAGGGTGAAGATCAAGAGGACGATAGATAATAATATTTCCATATTACCGGAGGTCATGAGAGGATACAAAGAAAGCGCATGCAAGAGCCAAGAGGGAACTTAGGAGCTCGGTTGCTTCCATGAAGGCTGGTGCAGATGTGGGTGGGGGATTTATTACACCAACAAATTAATTCTAAGCACTAACATTATGGATGCTACTGCTACAATGAATTGAGAGGAAATTTGGAGGTTGGGGGTGCCCTTTTTATGGGAGGGAATGAGGGATACCTTTAATTTTCCTACGTTTTTATGGAGCATTTTGGACCGTGGCTCTTGTGATATGTTACTACTGTTTCAGTAGCTCTTCACGTGCGGTGGCACGGTCAGATTATTATTCTTGCTCTTAATTAGGTATAATTTGTTGTGCGCAGCGGAAATTACGGCAGCACCTCTGGTGCTCGACAAGAGACTGGGTTGAAAAAGTATAGCACTGTGTTTGTTGGACTAAACAGACACAAAATTTACCATTAATAGTAATTCATATTTACTTCAAATTAGAAAATATTAAAAGGTAACTTCTTTTTTTCCCCTTCGATTTTGAGTGGACTCGAGCATAATGGATAGTTCTTGTCTGACTGACTCTCCGTATTTTGTCTTTAAATTTTTAATTGCGTAGTAATTTACGTCTCTCTTTTTAATTCTCTTAAAAGTCCCTGGAGCAGAGGGATTTTTCGAATTAATTCTTAAAAATCTGTTTCTAGCTAGTTCGTCTGCCTTATGGAAGAGTTTTGATTACAACTTGTATTTGTATATAGTTTTTTTTTATTCCTTTAAAGACGTTGAATGCGGATATAAATATGATTAAATCACACACACAATATGCATTCCAAGCTTCACCAATCACCAATGCTCCAAAAACATGATATGTGCACAATGACGTACTCTTTTGATGAACAAAAGCGTATAGGTATTTCGAGGGACTAATATCAGCATGTCAAGATAATATCAAAATATCAAAATTTGAGAGATTAATATCAAAATACTTATGACTTGAACTAATATCTAAAATTAGGAATCAAGCATGTAGTGGTTTTTTACTTGGTCAAACCACATGGCATATGAGCTACTAAAAAATAAACTATGTTACCTAGCTTATATTTCTCTGCCTTATAAGCTAAAAAAAGTGTTCGCCAAACACGTCCCCGGGCCTTATCAACCATTTTGACCAATTCCCAAACGTGCTCTTAGATTTTATGAAAACATAAGGGGTACAATTGTCTTTGCTTGGTCAAATGTCATCACTTATAATCCATTAAAAAATAACTTAGGATATCGTAGCTTATTTTTTTTGGTGAATTATAAGTCATAATAAACTATCTTGCAAACATCTGATCAAAGTGGCTTATAAATCATAATAGTGGTCTATAAGCCCCTTTGGCCATTTACCAAACATGTAATAGTGGGCATGGGCCGGGTCGGCCTATCAGTCGTGGGTATCGACCTAGACCCATTTATACTGGGCCTAGGGTCAAGTTGAGCCGAGGCCTAAACACGAGAATAAAGAACTAGGTGTGGCCTAATTGGACCTCACCTATTTTTGATCGGGTTCAGGCCCAGCCCGACCTGACCCAGCCCAAGTCTTTTTTTAAAACAAAAATTTAACCTAGCCCGATAGAAAACTAGTACGGTTGCATACTGAATCAAAAAAGATTGACTATATGTTAACTTTAGGCATGATGTTCGAAAAAAAATAGAGTATGATGAGAATATCTCAAAAACTCCAAGAAGCCTTAAACTGAAAATGTTGAAGAAATGAACAATACACTTTGCAAGTTGGATGTAAAAACAAACAGTTTGATAAGAGAAAATTATAGCTGTAAATTATAGTCCAAGTGATTTTTCAATTTATAAAATAATAGTTAGCCAATATTAATTAGTTAGTTAAGAGATAATCCTCTGGAAAAAGGCTTCAATTTTTTTTACAATATAGACGCTATTTAAAAATAAAATTTTAAGTATCAATACAAATATAGTAAAAAAAGGAAAAAAAGTTAAAATCACGGGTTGACCAGCGACCCATACCATGTGGGTCGGATCAGAGCTGACCCGAACCCGTGCGGGGTCATGACTCGGGCTGAGTCAACTCTTAGATCGGCAAATAAAGAACTAGACCCTGCTTAGGTCGTACCTAACCCAGCCCACGCCCATCCATTACGAACATGCTTCAAGTTCATTTTGGAAATAAGGAGTTCATACGTATGTATAATGTATTTATGTAGACATATATGGTACGAAACACCAAACAATGACATCGTGCACACACGCGCATACACACCATCATTTTCTAATTTCTCTTAAGTCATGTTTTTGTATTAAATTATATATTTTTTAAAACTTGAAAACTGTAACAGAAGCTGTATCATTTCATTCATGTAGCTAATCCAAAAGATTTAAAATGAAGGCTTTATTTTGCTGTTCTCGCATTTCTTGTTAGTCCAATTTGTCGAAACATATATTCATACTTTTCTTATTGTAAAACTGCATATTCCCATCTAGGAGTTCAGACAAATGGAGATGTTACTTGAGCTAAGTATCACTTCCTTAAAGGTCAAAAACAAAGATTGAACCAACTAAACAACCACTTGAAAGAGCAACTAAACATCGCAACTTGTTGCTAATTTTATTGTATGGTTATCTATTAATATATAGTATTTTATGGTATGGTTATCTATTAATATATGAGGGCATTGAGGTTGTCTAGCTTCTCAAGAGTCAAAAAAAAAAAAAAAAAAAAAATTGAAAAAAAAAGAGATCATCGATCTCTCTTATATAACAAGCAAGATGAGAGTGTTAGCCTTTTGTTCATGAAAAAGCAATTTTGCCTTTGTGAATAGTCCCACATCGGAAAATGAGAAAAAGTTCAAGAAGTTTATAATGGTTCACATCTCAATGAGTTTTGAGTTAGTGTTTTGGGCCTAGTGTTGTTTGGGCTGTTGCTCCACACACGCACTCGCACGAGTTTTTTGCCTCTCAAGTTTTATTTTTTGCACGTTTTACACACGTTTGTAACAGTTGCGGGAGTTATGGAAACGTATAACGGATGCGGGATTTCTGTGTAACCTCAGCGGACTACCAGTGACGGTTAAGAAGAGCAAGGGCTATATAAAGACCTGAAGCTTATTGGGAAGAAGTACACCAACAAGAAGAAGAGAGAAAAAGAAACATCTGAGAGCTATGTTTTTCCTCAAAAATTTTCTCAGTTACTATTTATTTATATTACGGGCAACCATCTTCGTCTGAGCAGAAGCTCTGCTACTCGCGCCCGAGTACAGAGGCCGGTCGTTTCCGGGGTCTTTTACCGCTAGAGGGTGAGGATCAACTTCGCCAGGGCGAAAGACGGGTCCTCTATCTTCTAAGGCAGTGAATCATACCTGCACCCGTTCAGACCTGATGTTCTAACTCCTTTATTTTTAGTTTTATAATAATTGTTTTAATTTTTAACAGCAGAGAGATGGTGTGTTGTTTTCATTGAGGTAGCTCCTTGTCTCACTCTCTCCATACCCATTTTTTTAAAAAGGTGGAAGAATAAAAATGAACGGAAATGAGAGGACATCATTGTTTGGATAAGGGACTGATGTAGGGTTAATCAAATCAATCAAGTAATAAAAGATCCCATATATCATTTTGAAACGTGCTGATAATTAGAGAGAATATCTTGGGAAAATGAAAAATATGAGAGCCCAATCAACATCACTGCTGTTAGTGGAGAATTTGGTTTACGTCACGAAGAATGTCCTCACCTAGCTAATACGTCAAC